GTAAATAACAATTTTCTTGTGGTTTCTATTTTTAAACTTTCACATTGTTGGCATATTCTGTCAATGATAATCTCCGCATTCATTTATATAAAATTTGTTCATCTTTGAGTTGATTTTCAACCAGTCACTGCCATATAATAGATTAGATATTACGTAACAATTCAGCCCTCCTTTGTTTTAGGGGAATTTTTCCTTCTATTAATATTTTTCTTAGTTTCTGAAAAGCACCTTTCGTTATTCCTAGTTCCATTTTCCGTTATCTATACTACTCAGCTAATGGAATTTATGTACCTGCTTAATTTTCTTTTTCTTTTTTTACTAATATCTTGTCGGAGTTAACTCCCCCTTAATTTCTTGTTGTTCACTAGGGCACGCTCTCCCTACACTATAAATACTGGGCGATTTCTTACCTCGTCCTTTTTTTACTTTGTATTTCAGCGGACACATTTAAAGGATATGATCTTTCGCAGAGATTTTCGTTTTTGCCCACTTGTGGGAAAACGCCATGAAACACACACACATACACGTACGTACGAACATTCATCAAAATACGAACTCTTTACGTTCACGCATAAACACAAATGTTGATGTCTTTGTCCGTTGTAAATCGGTCTTGTTTGTTTTCTTTACATCTTTGGTTGGACTCAACTTGAGTCCGCCATCTTCTTGTAGTGGACTTTTTAATATTCTATCAGGAGTTACACACGTGTCCCTAATTTAACAACACGTAAACCCACTATCTGCTACATTCTTATGTTGTCCCTTTTACTGACAACAATGCATTCTGCCTTCTTACTGTTGTGGTAGGATCCACCTAATTTGCATAGTGGAGTACCGACCATATAAATATGGTTGGTACCGGGAAGAGAGGAAGGAATCAAGAGATTCAACCAGAGACTCTGCCCGACTGCGACTCAGTCAACACATTCTCCAGGAACGGTCTTACCAGAAATATACAAAAGACTATATGTAAATATTGTGTACACTTTCTTGTTTCAATACATTTTGTTCTAAGTACATTTTGTGTTGCATTATTATTCCATGCATTAGTCAAGTTTCAACGCTTACATTTGGTCCTTTCTTCTTCCTTTCCATTAATATCTTGTCCAAAAATTATTTCAGTTTTCTTTCTGAGTCTGCCATCAACACAGAGTCATCTGCGTATCTTAAGTTGTTAAAATTAAGTCCGCTAATAATAAATTCTGGAGGGTCCCCTATTTTTTTTTTTTTTTTTTTTTTTAGATTCGTCTTGTTGTATAGGGTTAATAAATCTAGTGATAAAACGCACCCTTGTCTAACTCCTCTTTCCATTTTAATGCTGCTATAAGTACACAGGGGTAAGAGAAAACTCCGAGGTATGAAAAAAAATCGCCCCTAAGTATACCTGTAAGTCGAATTTGTAAGTGAGATGTATTCTTATTTCAAGTTCCATTTTCCTTAAAACTTCCTCATTACTCACATGCCCTGCCCATGTTATTCTCGGTAACTTTCTATAGCGTCACACTTCTGTTCCCACAAGCATCTTCAACATCATCATCATCTTCTTCTTCTATGAACCTTGTCTCCTCAGGAGGTAGGCGGTCATAGCGCTCCACAATGTTCTGTCCTTTATAGATCTTAATAAATTTGGTCATCTTGTTATTTCTCCTAAACTCTGTCCGCCATCCATTTATTCAAGCTCACTAATCACGTATGTTATGCGTCGTTTTTCTCTGTCCCTCTTGCCTTTACTCTTCCCTGTGAGTATTATATTTTTCCAAACCCTCTTTCCTCATTATGTGTCCTAGAAATTTCAGCTGTTTCTTCTTGATGTTAAATCTAAGTCTAAGTCCTTTTTGTTTTCATTTTCTCTAGAACTTCGTTGTTGCTCACATATTCTGTCCATGGTATCCTCAACATCCTTCTGTAGAACTACATTTCTGTTGTTTCAATTCTCGTCTTCATCTGTGAAGAGATTGTCCAGCATTCACTGCCATATAGGAGAATAGTCCAGTACTCTTTTCTTTGTCTCTAACGAAGTTTTCCTATTTCTTAATATTCTGCTTAGCTTTTGGAATGCATCTTTGGCTATCCCAATGTGCCTTCGGATTTCGGTATCACACTTTCCGTCCACTGTTTCACTAAGTATGTTATGCGTTGTTTTCCTTTCCCTCTCTTGCTTTCGATCTGTCCTGTGAGTATCAAGTTTCCAAGCCCTCTTTCCTCATTATGTACTCTAGAAATGCCAACCGTTTCTTCATTATGTTAAGTATAAGTTTCTTTTTTTGTTTCCATTTTCTATAAAATTTCGTCGTTGCTCACATATCCGGTTCATCACAATTATCTATGAATGCCATATAGAATGATTTATATTATATGACTGTTCAGCACTCTTTTCGAAAACGATATTTTCCTCTTTCTTAATATTTTGTCTATCTTTTATAAGACATCTTTCGTTATTCCAATCCAGTTTTCTGTGTCCTGTTTTCCGTTGTTGTTTCTCAGGTGTTAAAATTTCTGTACTTGCTTGATTTTGATATATTCAATTCTCCGCTCGAATCTTAGGCTGTTCTACTTGCGAACGACTATGCATTTTATCTTCTTACAATTAATAGTTAGGGCTTTCTTAGCGCTTTCCTTTACTACTTTGTCGATGAGTTCCTGCAGTCTTCTTTCTTTGTACACCAACAACACAATGTCATCTGCGCATTGTTGTTATACGCATGATTGTATCTTTAATATTTATTGTTAATAACGCATGCGCATCACATATTTTACGCGTATTTGACAAATGTATATTAGTTGCGTATTACCTTGCTTAAGTCTGAAACCGGCTTTTTCCTTTTTTTTTCTCTCTCTCATTCTCTTCCTCTTTTTCTTACTATTTTAGATATTCTTCAATTTAAGATTTTAGACAATGCTCTTGCACAGATATGCATACTCCATTGTATCTTTCTCAAATTCGTCATTTCTTTCTAGAAATGGTACATTTGTTTGCGAATTTTGATGTAGGCAGGCAGGATTTGTTTTCGCTTATTTCTCTTAGAATTTCTTAGTTTTGTTCTGTAAAGAACTTTCAACTAATTCGTGATGGTACCAAAATAGTTTTATTATTTAAATTACACTGTCTCTGAAACCAATCAAAACTCGAGAGAGAGAAAAAATATTTTTTACCCAATAAGTTTTCACTAGACTCATCTTCTTTTCTTGTAAAAAAGATTAAGGACGTAATGCGTCACTCAATTCTACGAGCGAGTACAGCTGACGTACCCGGCATTTCATTTATACTAATTGTTGTTGACCCACAACCGTTGCATCATGTTGTGCTGACCTACGCTAAAGCAAACTTAAGTGAACTTATTATCAGAACAAGCCAATCAAATTTAATCATATCGTTTCCTATTGAAGATATTGTAAATTTCACTGTTTATTCAATCTAATTTCTTCTTCCTGTTTCATAATTACATTAAACGTAATAGCTCACGACATTTATACGCAACCAATGTCCAATGCAGCCCAATTTCACTCACAAAACTTTGCTTAACGCATTGTATGGATTCCCAGACAGTTCAAAATGGTGCCTTATGATGTGATCGCCTCCTTGGTTATAACGTTTCGAACCCAGATCTAATAGTTGGGACGCTAACGTTCTAAAAACTTGAACGCAGACTAATTAATTATTGCATATAAATCACAAAATAATAGACCAATGTCATACTGTCCCTGAAAATAGATATAACTCGTCTGTTTAAATAAAACGTACACTTCCACATCGGTTAGTTCAGTTCTACCAAAGCCTCTTCCTGTTTGGTAACTGAAGCAATGAATCAAAGAGTAAAATCCCACAGAAGAAGAAAGAAAAGAAAGAACCTTTCAGGAGCTAATCGTATCTGTGGAAAATTATTTCATTTAAATTTTATTTTTGGACTCTGATTGATAATAATGAACGCAAACTCTGTCAAAAACGATTTTTTCTGTGATATTTGAATTTTAGCCGAGAACTTTTTAACAAATAATTATAAAATGGAAAGAAATAATCCACACATATAAGACCTAAATGTGCATCCATATATATATATATACACACACACACACACACACACACACATATATATATATATATATATATATATATATATATATATATATATATAGATAGATAGATAGATAGATAGATAGATAGATAGATGTTAGGATTAAAAAAACAAATAGTAAACGTTTATCAATGTAAGATATTTTACTTTTATTAAAGTTTCAATTCTGGTAATTTTATTTTTGTAAGAAGGACCCCAAATCAACATAACTATCTACTAGACACACACACACACGATTACATACACACACACAGACTTACGAATATACATTATCATCTAAATTCCACACAGGCAATTCTTGTACTTATTTTTTTTATTTTAATATCATTATTATTATTATTATTATTAATTTTAGGGGAGCGTATTTTGTTCTGAACTATGTCAACGGAAAGCGTGGAAATTTCATGTGTCATACTTCTGACTGTCATAATTTTCCCGTTGTCAAAGGAAATCCATGAATATATTATACTAATATTGGGTGACAAAATCGACTGTGAAAAGGTGGTGTGCCAACTTCCAACTGGGGATTTGGAGATTCAGTCTTGAAAGCATCAAATGCTGTCAACAGAAAGTGTTGATCATATTCTTCACATAGTTTTGGACACCATATGTATCCTGGATAAAATAATTGCTGAGATGCTAGAAATATCAAAGTTTGATTTGCTTTTTTTAACGATTTATCAAGCCTTTGCAGGTTACTCAAAGCCAGAAAATATTTTTAGATTGTGAGAAATTTTGGAGATAATAATACTTTACTAATACATTTCCAATTAATTAACCCATAGATGGGGGAGAAGAGATAGATTCATACCTTTCCCAAGTGTATTTGTGCCTGAGGGAACATAACGAACCAGACTGGAATTGGTACTCGGCACTCCGATTTCCAAATCCTAGTCATTAATATTTAAAACACCCCCACATCCAAACTTACAACACTTGGTATTCCCAAGCTGTCACCGATCTAAGTACTAATCAGTCTCGACGTTGCTTAGCTTCGATGATCATACGAGAACCGGTGTTTCAACGTGATATGGCCATAAGCCTAGATATATCTAGGGGATACGTTGGGTTTCTAATTCATGAACTATGGGTCAATCGAAGCCGTTAAGCTGAGTGAGTGCAAAAACTTTTTGAATCTTGACTAGGCAACGATAAAATGTAATCATTTCAAATTGATTTTGCTACAGTTTCATTGATTTAGGGATAATGTTTGGGAATGCCTTGTCTCTCTTGATGATATATGGCTATAAATCTAAGATACAGAGGCACTAACGACACTCCACCGCCGAAAAGATTCAAGACCCAAAAGTTAACAGGAAAGATCATAATCATGTTGTTTTTGGAGATGAGGATAAGAAAGGTATTTTGGTAACTACCTTCAGAAGAGCCAGTCAATGCAAAATGATACTCTTAATTTACTATTAAAGGAACCCTTGAAAGAAACACGGTGAAGGAAGCTGCAGAAATGTATTCAAGTGATGTGTTCTCTTTTTACAGTACAATGCACCTGCTCACAGGGCTGGTAGTATGATTGATGCTTTGAAGAATTTGCGCTTTGTGGGTATAGACAATATTCCACCTAAATTTACTGCTTCAAAACCTTAAAAGGGGTTTAAAAGGAAGTCATTTACGAAGGATTCGGAGATGATTGTAGCAGCAGAGCAAAATTTCAATGACAAAAAATCTTATTTTTTTTATGAATGCTTAAAGAAACCTGAGAAACAATATGTCATGTTTGTTGAACTGCAGGATAAATATGAAGAACGGCATGTGCGATTCATTGCTGCATATCATTCCCTTAATCTTTAGGCCGAGAACATTTTTTGAGTGTATATATATATTTTCTATCATCTCATATATATATATATATATATATATATATATATATATATATATATATATATATATATATATATATATATATATATTCTGGCCTATTCTATCCTCTTAGTAATTTATATATATATATATATATATATATATATATCTCTCTCTCTCTCTCTCTATATATATATATATATATATATATATATATATATATATATAATTGAATTATGTGTCTATATTTCTGAGATGAGGACACATAGCACAGTGGATAATGGCGTTAGTTAGAGATCCAGTGACAAGACCCAACGAGTGTGAGTTAAGTACCTGGTTAAGGCGGTGGAGAACTTGGAGAGGGGAATTAACAGGAGATAACTGATAAATGACATCCATTAGACATGGCATGTGGAACTAGAACAGTCTACCCCAGTGAACGAAATAAAGGGTTCAGTTCGACATTCGAACCACCTGAAGAAGGCCGGAGCGTACAACGGCCGAAACGTTGTGATAAATATGGCAACAAAAATTATGATGATAGTCCGAGCAATGTAAATTGAATTATGATTACAAATCAAGATAATAGTTAAAATATACTAATATAAAACGATATCTAAGTATGTATGAATGATCAGTTGAGTATTATTAGATTTTTCTTCTTAACGGTAATGATAAGAATTTCCATTTCCATACAGAAAACTTTCGGCATTCATTGATCGAACAGTTAACATTACTGTTTGTGGCTGTGTGGAAAGTCAACATACTGATTATGTCATCATTTTCCCTTCTAGTTATATACGCTATCCATTTTAGTTGTTGTTGGATGTATTCAAGTTATGTGTTTTTTTTATTTATTTATTTGGTAAAGCTCTTTGGGATTATGTAACGCCACTCTCTAGAGCAGCGTTTCCAAACTGGTGTTCCTCGGAACCCCAGTGTTCCGCAAGAGGTCGCTAGGAGTTCAGCGATAAACCGTAATAAATAGGCTAATGCGTTTTCGAGTAATTTCTGTTTAATTTCATATTCGCAATTTTTCTATATGATATATTGTTGGAAAATCCTTGGTTATTATAATAAAGGCTTCAACCTCTTATATTATTTGAGATTATAATAATCATTGGGAACGTATTCAACTATGTCTATATGGCGTCAGTGTGAAATCGCCTTCACTGGTAAGTGGTGACAGGACCTGTACGTGACGGATTCGTATATCATTGTATGTTATGTTTATCACTTGAAATATGATAAAAATATAAAAGGGATATATATTAATAATGATATATAATAGTGTTTATGCAGTGGTTCCCTGAGGCATGAAAGCTATTTCAAGAGTTCTACAAGGGTAAAAGGTTGAGAAAAGCCTGTCTTCTGTATGACCTAAAGGATTCATTTGCTTTAAGCTATTTTGAATCATTAATCCGTGAAAACGGTTGCATATTTTTACTAGTTTAGACATTTTTCAACGATTTTGGACGCCATTGATGACAATCATATGAATTTAGACCATGGCTTGAGTTTTCAGGTTAATATTTTGGATTTGCAGCAGCATTTTCTAGTTTTAGACAAAATTATCCATAGCGTAACGTAAGTGCGTGTTATACGGCCATGCGTGTCATATGGCGGGAAATATGGCATATTGTTTGCTCGATGTTATCAACAATTACTGCTATCGAAAAACTTGTCTCAAAGTGATTAAAATAAATGGATCCATCTGTATAGCAAAGGAAATGACGAATTATAAAAAAAAACAAAAAAATACGATGCAGTAATTTGTGTCACTGATCTTACACTACAACTAAACTCGCAGTCCAACAACTTACCACAGACAGAGCTATATCCAGTTGCAGCTGTATAGTTTATTCGGTCGGCAAGGAAAACCAAGTTATATTCAGTTACAAAGCTAAATGCATATGTTTCTTTTTCCTCGTTTTATTTTCTCTTATTTTGCTGCATGAGTAAACAATAAACATTGCTAGTTGATGGTATTCTATTCTTATTCACTATCTTCCGATTCGCCTCAGCACCGGTTGGCTTTCGCGCTACTCTTGTCGGTCTATTGCCTGCTATCACTAACCAGTAAATTTAGCCTACTGCCTGACTGCCTGACAGTTTTTAACGACTCTCCTACTCATTGAAATACATTCAGGAATTGCATTGGAAACGAGTGTAAACATCAATAACTTCGGTTTGCAAGCGATAAAACACGTCTTACTGTAGAGTTTCTCTTTATAAGAAAGGAAAGGAAAGTGAAAGTAAAAAAAAAAAAAGAGAGCAAAAAGATAAAATTTCTAAATCGCATGACATAATTAATCTTTATTTCACGAACGAGATTAGATTTCTATACTAAAGAAAATTGTTAAATCCAGTAAAAAATAGTTTACAATTACTTTTCGTTTTGGTACGTTTATATCGGTTTTATTATCATTTGAAATAAAATAGATAAATAGATTAAAATATTTTTCTTTTTCTACAATTAGTACAGTTGTCCTCATCTTTATTGACATATTCACGAGGTTTTGGTTGTTGTACGCTCCGACCTTCTTCAGGTGATATTCACTGGAATTTCGAACCGAACCCTTTAAGAAAAGGCATGGTACGTGGTATTAGAACAATCTACTCCCGTGAACTAAAAAAAAAAAAAAGGTTCGGTTCGAAATTCCTGCCGTATATCACCTGAAGAAGTTCGAGCAATACAACGACCGAAACGTCGTGAATATGGCTATGGTATCTTTGGTTAGAAAGTTGTGCTCGTTTGTATTAATAGTATTAAGGCATTGTTAATTTTGATCGGGTTTGTATCATCATTGATTTTTTTTTTCATTTTGACTACTGACTGGGGATAGAAATACCCTTTTTGTAAGAATTGTTGGTCATTTTATGCCCCCCCCACTCCCCCGCTCCATAAAATGGGTAGCTACACTACACTACCCAAGCCCTTTCTTCCCATACTCCAACACTATGGCGTGGATATCGTCCCTTCCAGAATTCCAATTTTTGGTCAACAGTCGCTGACATTTATTAAAAATTTCATGCCAACCGTCATGGTCGATTCCTACCTTTTCTGAATGTAATGTATATTTCCGTTTCTAATTTAATATTTTATTTATTTATTTATTTATTTATCCTCTGGAACGGCTTCATTTTTCTTTTAGTCTTTTATTAGAAAGTTGTATTTGTTTGTATTAATAGTATTAACGCATTGTTAATTTTGATCATGTTTCTTTTGTATCATTGTTGAGTTTTTTTTTGTTTTTTGTTTTTTCTCATATTTGACTACTGACTGGGGATAGAAATACACATTTTGTAAAAGTGGTTATTCGAACTTTAATTAAGTTAAAACATTAGTACTTTAATTATATATTTTTTTACATGTGGTTCTCAGCTCGGCTCTCCAGATGAATTCTCTGAATAAAACTCGTTCTTTGTAATAATTCATCTAGAAGCCAACACCAGTATTTTTTTTCTTTTTTAATAGGAGCAAATAGGCTCTTATATAACCCGGTCAATATTCCTCTCCTTCTCTCGTTCCCTGTTAAGGAAGGGGTTCCCGGTTCTTTTCCTTTTTCTCTGGCTTTAATAGTGGCGCTGTCATGAATTTCTTGTGCTGTGCGTGGTTGGTGGCAACGTCTCTTAATACTGAGGGTACCAGATTGGCAGTTTTCTGGTTTCAGTACTCGACTAGTAGTTAGAAGCCCGAACTATTGTGTAGCGTCTAGAGAGATTGCTCTGATCAACAGTTGCGTAATAGCAGGGTTCTTGCAGTGCCATGTCGCGCATGGATGGATGTCCCTGCAAGCTTATCCGGTGGGCAACCCCGAGGCCACACTATGTTGCACTCTGCTCCAGTTTCCTTCTGCCCATGTTGCATTTGATGACTGACTGCTACGACTATCCTAGACCTTTTCCTTAACAACATAACACATGATTATAAACAACTAATGATACATACCGAAACCAGTTCAACAAAAACACACCTAAACCTCTTAAACTCTCTTTCTCCAAAATTCGTGGTATTCTTACCAACTTCTGCAGTGTGGAATCGCTCCTCTTCGAAAAGTCTTCGGAAATCCCAGCTCTCTGTGAAACTTTAACTCGTCAATCCCTTCCTCTGATTTCTCGATTCCTGGCTACCATCCTCTAATTAGAAAGGACTCCAAAGTCCACATGCATGTTTGGGAGTTTATGCCCGCGAGCATCTCCCGCTGGCTAGGGAATTCTC